TATTATATTGTGATCTATATACTGTATATGTGGGAATTTGCACTCAAGTTGGCTTCTTGTTGTCTCATCCCTGATTCTGTCTCCAGAGAAACCCGACGGGTCTTTGGACCGGGACGTTCTGGTTGGAGGACTCGGCAGAGACACGTCTTCTTCGCCTCGCCTGGACCCCACGTCCCTTCTGGTCCCCAAAGAGTTCCAGTCCGAACCGCTGTCTGGACWGTTGGTCCAAAGCGTTGGTGAGACGTGTCGTCACCCTGTCCCSCCACAGTCTGCGGCTGTCCAGGACCAGGACTCTCCACAGACCAGAGACAGAGCCGGTACTGAACCAGAACTGGCACCTCAGAGCTCCAGTAAGCACCTGGACCGGTACATCTACAGTCTGCTGCAGAGACGGGCCCAACCCATCAGGACTGGCAGACCCAGGACCAGTTTTTGCACAGACCTGTCAAAACCCGTCCTGAGACAGGCCAGTCTGTACGGAAGGCAAGGATCTGGTCCTGATTCTGGTTCAGGAAGTCCAAAGTCTTCCTTTCATCCTGGAGGGACCTCAGCAGGTGGTCCAGTCTGGTCCTGTCAAAGACAAAGTGAGGAGCAGAATGTTAGTCCTGGTCTCAGGGTCCACAGTGAGTCCAGCCCTGCTGGTGGTCCTGTCTCCATCAGGGACAATAAGTGGGGCAAAGGTCCRTCCTCCCAGTCGGCTGCAGCTCTTCTCAGACACTTCAGGGACCAGGGAAGTCCTTCGGCTAACTCCGCCCACAAAAACCCACATCAGCCTCATTGTCCCACAGACCAGGATCTGGACCCTAAACCTCTACTGGGGGACGATTTAGGGTCTAGTTGTGAGAGCCCAGGGAGAACACAGACCAGTTCTTCCAGGAACGTGTCCCAGCTTCTCCACAGTGTCCCAGCAAAGAACCCAGAAAGGCCAGTCCCACAGATCTCCGGTCTGGGGACAGGTGATGGACGAGACGGACCTGGGACTCAGGAGGGTCTCACCTGGTACCTCACTGCCAAGCAGCAGAACCTCAAATACCGCAGAGGGAGCAGCAAGACGTCCAAGACGGTGCTGAGGACTCTGGTGGTCCCTGAAGCCAATGAGCTGCCTTTAGACAAAGCAGGACATAAGTCTGTCCACAGGTCCGGCTCCAAGACTGTCCTGGACCATKGCTCTGCCCACATGAAGACACCTCACAGAGGTAAAGTCTTAAGAAAGAAGACCGTCTCTGCTTCATTCTCAGAAAGACGAGTTCTCGACAAACACACCAAGTCCAGCAGTCTTCAGTCCCGTGGGTCCAGACCCCACCGACATGTCCCCCGTCCCTGCAGCCATCATCACCATGTGTCCAACCGTGAAGACCACCGGCGCTCACACGTCCTCTCAGAGGTCCCATCAGACAGGGGGACGAAGCGTTTCCCGCAGCGCCAGAGACACCCGCACCCCGCCTCCGGAGGACCCAAGACCCGCCCGTACTCGTGTGGGACAGGAAGTGACTCGGAGTACTCGGCGGAGTGTCCGTCCCTCTTCCACTCCACCATTGTGGACACCAGTGAGGACGACAGGTCCAACTACACCACCAACCGCTTYGGAGACAGCGAGTCCAGCGAGGATGAGTCTGTGGATGAAGACCTGGAGGACACTGTGGGAGGTGGTCCCGTGGTCCAAGGGAAGGGGGCGCGGCCGCCGGGACCGAAGCAGGGTCCGGGTCTAACCAAGACTCTGGTGAAGATCAAAGCCTCTCACAACCTGAAGAAGAAGATCCTCAGGTCCAGATCCAGGTCCCTGAAACTCATGACCACTGTGTGACCAGAACCAGACCAGAACCAGAACCAGACCTGCTGGCTGCCTTACATTCACACTTGTGCTGTGCCTGAAACAAACCCAGAGGACCAGAAGATCAGAAGCAGTACCTGGAACCAGGGGTGGAGCCAGGGGCGGAGCCGTGGTCACCACAGACAAATCGTTGGCCCCCTGCTGTACACACCTGCCTTCCACAGTGACATCTTTAGTGGTGTAATAATCCTCCTGAACAGTTGGTGGCAGTGTTTAACAGTTTGAAACATCACTAAGCTCTGTCACTGAAGAAGAATAAAGACAGGAAGTGATATTTTCTTTATATACAGAACATATTCCTGTAATCTGATTTATGGTGTCAACTTTTGGACTTATGGTTCTTTTTGAGTAGACCTATCACTAAATCATAAAAGGTGAAACACCCTCTAAATTCACTGTGGTGGTTATTAATATTGCACCTGTTCATTGAGTAAAATTATTAATAGTTTTAAACATGCAGCTGAGGGTCCTCATTATTTGGCACAATGATGTCTTACAATTAAAAAATAAATCAATAATAAATAAACAATATAAAAGTAAAAAGCACCCTTAAAGTCACTGGATATGCTAAATTGTGTCACATTAATTAACCTTATCTCAGCTGCAGCAGTGAGTTTAAAACAGGATGATAAAACTAGTTTAATGAAGAATCTGATAATAAATCAAGTGTTTATTTATGGAGGTAAAAGTCTGTTTAACAAYCTGGTAAAATACACCAGAGTGCAGGAAAATGGCATCTATTTTGTTCCAAATTTTCTGGGGGAAGACCTCCAGACCCCACAACAGTGTGTCCCCCAACTTTTACAATGGTTCTGATGTGTTTATGCCCCTGTGTGAGGACATTAAACACACACAATGACAAAAACACAAAGATCTGCAGAAACTTTCCAGTAAAAAATGATGTCATTTTCCTGACAAAACCCTGAGAGAAATGTCAGGTCAGACTGGACCATCCTACTCTGAAGGACCTGGACCATCCCAGTCTGAAGGACCTGGACCGTCCCAGTCTGACCTCCATTTCCAGACTGTCTGTGATGTTCYCAGATGAAACGATTGTAAAAATGTTTTTGTTTGTCTTGTTTTCTCTGAACCAACAGGTTTCTTTTCCAGGGTTCTCCTGAGCTGATGAATGTTCTCTAACAGAGTTTTTCTCCTGACCTCTCAGACTTTCTGAAGCTGTCATCTGTAGAACATCTGTGGAACATCTGTAGAACATCTGTGGAACATCTGTAGAACATCTGTGGAACATCCGTAGAACATCTGTGGAACATCTGTAGAACATCTGTAGAACATCTTGATGATCCAACATGTCTGCAGGATTTAAAAGAGTTCACTTCCTGTTTGCAGTTTGTGTTTTTCACCAAGTGAATTAAAGATTTAAAACCAAACTCTGAGTCATCAGCTGCTGAAGACAACAGGAGACACCATCGTTAGAGGAACTCAGAGAGTCTTCAGGACAGAGACCAGGACAGAGACCAGGCCAAACACGAGGGCAGAGACCAGGACAGAGAGCAGGACAGAGATAAGGACAGAGATCAGGACAGAGATCAGGACAGAGATCAGGACAGAGAGCAGGACAGAGACCAGGACAGAGACCAGGACAGAGATCAGGACAGAGAGCAGGACAAGGATGAGGACAGAACTGTGGACTGATTTTTTTCTGGATTACATCTAATCTCAGTTGAAGCCACAGCTGGTCCTGCAGGTCCCTCTCAGGACTAAGGGGGACAGGTCCCTCTAAGGACTAAGGGGGACAGGTCCCTCTCAGGACTAAGGGGGACAGGTCCCTCTAAGGACTAAGGGGGACAGGTCCCTCTAAGGACTAAGGGGGACAGGTCCCTCTCAGGACTAAGGGGGACAGGTCCCTCTCAGGACTAAGGGAGACAGGTTTCTCTCAGGACTGAGGGGGACAGGTCTACCGGAGGGATTTGAATACTTGAATGTGTTTTATGGAGGTTTATCTGCTGAGTCAGACAAGGAGGTCCTCAAGGTCTGACTCATCCTCTGAGCTGTGAAGGGGTCTGCAGAGACCTCAGACCCGTCTCCACAGGATCCAGTCTGCAGGTTCAGGTCTAAGGTCTCTGTGGTTCTCAGACTCAGAATCTGTCAGAGGAGTGATGTCTGCAGTTATTGTGACCACGAGTCATCAGCTGCAGTTCAGTTAGAGTTCAAACCCCCACCCCCTGCACCACACACACACACACACACACACACACACACACACACACACACACACAAGGTGGGGGGGGGGCACTGGGCTGTCATCTGAGGAGAAACAGAAATAAATCACTGCTGTGTTACAGGAAACACTGAAAATCCTTCAGTGTCCTCAAACACACATAAAGATACACAAACACACATAAAGATACACAAACACATATAAAGATACACAAACACACAAAGAAACACAAACATACATAAAGATACACAAACATACATAAAGATACACAAACATACATAAAGATAAACAAACACACATAAAGATAAACAAACACACATAAAGAAACACAAACACACATAAAGATACACATAAAGATACACAAACACATAAAGATACACAAACACACATAAAGATACACAAACACACACAAAGACACACACGGTTCTGTGGTTCTGGTTCCACTGGACACACTCAGAGGTGATTCTGAGAAACTGTTCATGATGTAAAATGATTGTTGTTCACAGCAGAAACACATGATTAACAGTTATTACATCCACATGATCAATTATTAGAACAATGATGATGATGATGATGATGATGATGATGATGACTTCAGCTGCAGCTGTGGCTCCACCTGCTGGACCAGTAAAGTAATTACACTCACACTAAACCAGGTGTGGTGGGAGCTGAGGGTCCTCCTGAACAGGTGACAGACCAGCTGATTTTAGTCCAAAACTTTGTCCCTCCTCTTCAGTCCAGAGGACATGGTCTCTGAGGTCTCTAAGGTCTCTGAGGTCTCTGAGGTCTCTGAGGTCTCTGTGGTCTCTGTGGTCTCTGAGGTCTCTGAGGTCTCTGTGGTCTCTGTGGTCTCTGTAGTCTCTCAGGTCTCTCAGGTGTGTGATAGAGCTTTATTAGTGAAGAGTGGACGTGGTCCCGAGTCTGCTCCTGATCCGGACCAACAGAACTGGTTGATCCGGACCAACAGAACTGGTTCTGCAGTAAATGTGTTGTTGTGAAGTTTGTTTTCCTCCCAGAAACAAGCTCCCACTCTGAGTGGGATCAGAGCTGTTTGTGGAACTGGACCGCACCCAGTCTGTGTGAGTCAGAGTCTGGCTCAGAACCAGATCCAGTCTTTGGTTAGGGTGTGTTTGTTTGTTGGGTTTCCACCAGGAATGTTAGACTGGAGCTCTGCAGCTAAAGAGTGCTGACTCTCAGCTACTACCACCCAACATTTCAGCTCAGTGTCTGTAAATCTGAAGGACTTCCTGTTTCCTGTTGTTGTGTTTGGGTTAGCTGAGGCAGCCATCTTGAATCAGGTCGACTCCTAGATCCACTGGTTTAGGAGATATTTTGCTAACAGAGTCCAAACTCTGATCTCCTGCTGACACAGATCAGTGAAGTTTGACTCTTTTATTTTGAAAGTTGCTGCAGAACTTTAGTTATTATCTTCAGACTTCTCATTAAAAAGGTTTTATGCTACTGTTAGCTTTTAGCTACTCTTCTTTTACCTTTAGCTTTTAAGGTTTAGTTATTTAGCACTTTTCAGCAGCAAGGCGACACAAAGTGCTTCACATGATTTAAGAAATGATACAAACAAATAAAAGAAAAAAGAAAAAGGCAGAATAATCYAAGACATCATTTTAAGCAGCTTATTTCATCTTTTTGTCCTTTTAGCTTCAAGTTAACATTTTGATTATTTTAACGAGTCTCTGGATATTTTTCAGCTTTTTTCAAGTTTTAGCTTTTAGCTATAATCTTTCAACATGTTTATCTTCTACCTAACCTTTTGCCACTTTGAGCTTTTAGTTGACTTTTAGCTATTTTAGGTGTTTTTAGTAATCTGCTTTGTTTACCTTTTACCAGCTCTAGCTCTACCAGCTTCACCAGTTTTAGCTTCTCAAGTAAATTTCTGCTGTTATTCAGAAGTTAAGTGACCTGGTTCAGGTTTTCAGCCTGGATTAATTAATTA